AAACACCTAGCAAGTCACATGATGTGTTACAGGCAGGCAGCCGATCGAGGGGACGGCTGTGAGGAACAATGAAGGCAACCTAAAGCAACCAAAAGCTAACCAATAAGAAATCGTAATACTAAGGCCGTATGTAGAAGACGTGAAAAATCCTCAGCGCAAACGCAGAGCTGTCTCTGTCTTCTCTCCTACCGGGCTTTGGGAACCGGGGTCGGCTAACTTACCGTTTGCGCTAATTAATAGTACCAGGCACCTGTCGTGCCATTAGTTCTTCTGCTGATTTAGCAAGAGGCAGTGTTTTATGAAGACCGCTAAAAAGATGAATGTCACAGCCGGAGCCAGATTTAGAAACTGCAATTATAATAGATGTTGACGAATAATCAGGGGAGAAACTATTCTCGAAAACTTCTGAGAATAACTTGCTCAGTAAAGGTGGAAAATCTCCTTATTTTGAAAGTTAAGTAAGTTCGGGATGTTATCAGTTTCAACCAAAGCGAATTGTTAAGAAGACTTATCTCTTTTTGAATATTTGTAGGCTCCCATTCCTGTTTTACACGATCCTGGGTTTAGTGGTGACCTAGGAAGTTTACATTACCTGACGTTGTCGTACGCCTAACCTCAACCTTCAATGGCTGACGGTGCCGGGAGTTAGACTGGTGCGTGGTCAAGTCAACAAAGCGTGAGGTGGACACTCGAAGATTTAGTCCCGAAGCAGGTCAGCGCAGTACTCACTAAAAGCTACTTGAAATGTTCGCATTTTTATGACGTCAGACATTCTCAAGGTTGTTTTATTATCAGTTTTCTTCTTCAAATGCCTTTAATTTATTAAAAGTGACCTTTTTAATATTTTAATGGCACCCTGAATTTCGTTGCAGTATAAAGGACTGTACGAATACACTTGGTGAAAATGTACTTTTCGTTTTTGTTTACCTGGACTAATTCACTTGCTTTTCGGTGGTTAGTTTCCAGAATTAAAACATGCTTACTACCATTAAAGTTTTACACGATCCGTAAGCTAGTGGTGGCTAATGGAGGGGTTTATCTAATCTGCCATTGCCGCACTTGGTTCACGGAATAATCAGCGTTTCAATCTAAATTCGTGATGTTTTTCAGAGTTCTCACGATTCACAGGAAGATTTTCACAACGTACGCCTTTTCAATCGCATTCTTAACAACTGCTGTGGGCTGCTGCAGTCTCATTCCGGTCGAATGCATCGTGGGAGGACACTGGTCTTTGTTTACGTATTTTTATCGTTACTTCAAAGGTCCTACAACATTATATACCATTCATCTTCCTTTGGGTCATACTTGCGGCTCATTTAAGAAACAACTCTAAAAGGACACTGTACCATTCTAAAAAGCATACTCGTAATGCAAAATACATCACTGAACCGGTCACTTTTGTGTAAAAACTGCATTTCACGTTGTGATATCGACAGACTCGATCGTCGCCTACGACTTGCAGTACCGCCGTAAACAAATCACGCCAGGACTATTTAATTCTGGATTGCAGGCGACAGTCTTGCACTCAGACAAGGATGGCCTTCAGAGCAGCATTAACTGCCATCCCGCTTCTCGCCTCTGCGGTTCTCTTATCCAGCAGCTATCGCAAGGAAGATTTTAAGGAGACGCGAACACTTGAGGATGAACTGCTGGAAGCTGCTCTTTCGGACACCGAGGCGCCTACAGAGATAAATGAGGAGGATGAAATGGCTTTGAAGCCTGTCAACGTAGGAAGGTGGTTCAGAAGACTAGGTGAAAGGATTCGTCAAGGCTTCCGTCGCATAGAACCAGACTGGCTGCTAATTCTCGGTTGCGTAGACATCTTGTTAAATATTTCAAGAGTGAAAACAAAGTCTATTTGTATTAACGCGGAGACTGTTAAGGTGGAAGAAAAGTAAGTAAACCCATTCATAAATCAAGTGGGAGGGGTAACTGTCATACGGGTACCGCTGTAATAGGAATTTTATGGGTGGGACTTTTTGTGGATGCGCGGAAGAAAATGACGAAGGAATGAAAAAGTAAGACTTATGTAACTATTCATCATATTTCCGACCTGAACCGACAAAGCAACGAGTTCGTGGTGTAATGGTAGAGTGGCAAACTCAGTGACCAAAGGTCCCGGGTTCAGATCTCGTGGGTTCCAACCCTTGAGGTTATGCATGCCTGGCTGATGACGGCTAACAAGCCAGAAATGACCATTCCGGTCTACCTTTGCTTTGTGGGATCCATTCCACCGTGTCTATTCTAGTTAAATTATCATGCAAATAAAAGACCACGTCCCGCGGTGTTTAAAAATGTGTAATGACACCCAGTTGTATTTAGCGGCAAAAGACTTTGCGGATGACAGACACCCACACACGAGCGGATAAGAGGTGCGAGAATTATATGGCAAACAACAGAAACAAGGCTGATTATTTTCAAGTTAGCACTCGCCAATCAGGTTCCACTCTTAAACAATGGAGAACCAGTTGATTTCTAGCGGTCTAAGACGTTGAGATTAGCACACACAGGAGCGGATAGGAGACCTGAAGTCGTTTTAGTTGGTGCGAGTATCAAACAGGGTTGGTAAATTTCACACCAAGCACATGGTAAGAGAAGATAGAAA